AGTCTGTTGGGGGAGGGGGCGCACACCTATGCAGATCGCATAAGAGCAAATTGACCTCACATATAAGTTATGGGTCTAAAAATGCTCATCACATAAGAGCGAATTTGCATATATAGAACCCACATAAAATCGAGGGAAACCTGTAGTGAGAAATATCAACCTACTGGATACAAAAAAAACATGGACTAAATATAGACTTTGGATTTATGATGCATTATAGCCTGCCTAACATCCAACTCCCCAGGTAAACCCTCCACTTTTTACCAGCTATTCTCATTCCCTTCCCACCCCCCAACCCTCCTGTCTCCCATCCTTTGACTACAGCTACATTCATTACCCCTACCCCCACCTGTCTTTCACCTACTGACCACCTCAATTTACATTTTAACTGACTGGATTTCTTGCATAGATACTGGCCTCTGGTTGTTTTACCTCTCCATTCAGGAAAAGCACACACCATCTGCAGGTACTCTCAGCCTGAGGAGAAAGCTTATGCTAGTTTGTGCCCAAAAGCTTGCTAAGAAGAATTTTTCCAGCTATCTGAGTTGGTCTAATAATAGATATCAGATTTACCCAAAGAACCTTGTCTGCCATTGTTAGAAACAAAGTATTTATATTCTTTCTGAAAATTAGTCAGCTCCCACCATGCATATTTTTCACAAAACCAAGCGAGAGCCCATTTGATCACCACATGCTCCCAGATTCTTGTAGTTAAGTTTTGCCTCTTGACACTTTAGGACAGTGTGCACATTAGAGGTAAATACAGCCAGCCAGAACAGAGCAGAAGACAGATATAGAAGCATGTAGCCTTTTTAATTTTTATTTACCTCTGTAATTCACCAAGCCCTGTGCTTGTAGATGGGCTTGGGTTTATCCTCAGGAAGTTCTGCTTTAGGTTGAGATGAGTGAGGTCTTGACTGTAGAAGAGGTTGGCAGGCAGATGCTCAAGACTGCAGCATGACAGATCCACTGAGCTTATGCGCTGTGATGCAATCTAGAAACCAAGAAACAAGCATGATAAGACCACTGAAAATGAGAATGTCCCCTTTTACACTTACGGGTGTAAGAGGAGTCTTTTACACAAAAGTAGTTACTGGTCTTTTCACTTTCCCGTGCTCTGCCAGTGCTGCCTCAGTCCCAGTGATAGCCAGTATGCATGAAATGTATGTAGTGAAGGTTTATCCAGTGCAAGTCTTGGAACACCGATGTGCTCCCCACTGACTAGAAAAAAAAAAGTTGGTTAACACTCACTCTGCAAGCAGAGATGACTGGCATTTGGTTTGAAAGCAGTCTGTCTATAGGCAAGTAACAGGTGCAAAGATGGGGCATAAAACATTCCATGCTGCTATACAAGCAGTAAATATACATGAAGTGATAGGTAGATGTGCAGTTTCCCAGTCTCAAGCTTTTAGAGTCAGTGTTATGAAGGGATATTAAAGGAAGATCATTGTGCTTACCATGCATTTATAATGTCAGCTTTCTAATTTATAGAAACTCCTGTTGTTTAATTTTTCAACATTCTGCCCTTGCAACTAAATTTCAAAGCCCAGAAGGGGATATATTTATATAGCTGGTGCTAACATGTCTCTTCAGGGATAAGGACCAGCAAGCCTGCTTTTTTGCCCCTCCATGTAATTACTGATTATACTGTGCTCTTCTGCTTTCACAGATCGAAGCTGTTAGGGCAAGAAGATTTCAAAAAGTGGTTTCTTCTCCTTGCTTCTCATCATGCACTCTCTCCCCCCAGACATTTCAAAATTATTTTCCCATGGTACTGGAAAAGGAGATGGAAACACAAAGCTCTTCATTAGAATGTCAGGTCATCCTAGAACATGACCTTGAGGTCACCTGTTAACTACCAACACATTAGCTGTGGCACAACACTACAGGAATGTCTTGTTAACAATGTGCCATAATTCTGGCCACTTGAGAATGATTTCCTATAGTTCCAGCAAAGACAAGCCTACAGAAAGAATGATTAAAGAAATAAGGGAAAGTCACCACTAGAGAAGCATGCTTCTTGTATGAACCTTGTTACAGATCTGAGGGCTGAAAGGAGCAAGAGCTATACCGCTAAATTAGACCTCTAAAAAGTAGCACAAATGGTTACGTATTCTGACAACTATTCCTTGCAACAGCAACATAGCTTTATTTGGTCAGCAAAATTTTTATTGGCCTTGTACACTAAGGCTCAAAATTACAAACACTACATCTAAAGAAAAGAAAAGGAAAAAACAACACAAAAATTCATAAACAAATGCACAGGCGACGTCAAGCAGATTGTACTGATTAGAAGAACATGTAGCTCCGCTGCCAACTATGGTTATAAAGTAACATCACCCCGCATTTGTGGAAAGGGCCAGTTCTGCACAAGTTGCCCTGAATGCAAAAGAATGAATCAGCTTTAGCTAGAAAAACAGAATTGGCTGAGGCTGAAGGGAAGGTCAGCAACAGGGGAGAAATATTCC